CCCCTCGAAAAATTCAAATAATTATTAATATGATAAACCATGATAAAGATCGCGCCATAGGTACTCTCCATGAACCAAAAGTACAAGAAAACAAAGGTAATTAGCCCAAGAGTCATCTTTAATAATAAGATAGTGGTAAACCAGCTGAACTTTTTTTTCTATTGCGTGGTTTGCTGTTATCACTGCTCATGGGCTCAATTTTTCGTTTAAATAATAATTTTCTAGTTTATTCAAAATCGAGTGTAGACGTATCACGTATAGTATTGTATAATACATAGTAAATTCAGTAATATATTATTTATTTCAAAAAGTCCAAAAATAGCATTAAAATCTAAAAATTCTTAAGATATACATAACATATTTAACTTGAATTATCTGTAAGTACCATGAAACACATTTTTAGCTTAATCTGCTATTTTGTATGCATCTTATAAGAAATATGCAAATGTTTTAAAATCCCAATCTTCGTAATTATGTATATAATATGCAAGAGAGCATAATATTGTAAAATAATAATTGTATTGTAAAATATAAGAATTTTATTAGAATTCAATTTCAAACACAAAAATGGTGGGAAAAGTTTGAACAAGGCCCACTATCTACGCAGTTGGCCACTCTCTTATTATTAAGGGCCTCTAGTGCCCCTCGTCCGGATAAAGTTGTAGCTGGACTTTCGCACTCCATGTCCACGGCCGAGCGGATGTTCTACTTCCCGGGATTTTAGTGGTAGTTTCTGGGCTGCTTGACTGGTTGTTGCTGTTGCTGCAAAAACACTACTATGTAACTATAGGTTGAAATCATACACATAAATTGTATTTTATTAAAAAAAACCTTTAGATTATTATATGCATTTGATTTACTATTAATGTTGATAAATTATGTCCTAACTTTTGAGTACACAATTTATGTAGGTACCTATTGTGTAAATCTTATTTAAATAAAAGTCAATACAAATTTTTTTAGGGTGAGATTATGAAGCTATCAAATAACGATCTTATGGTGCTTATTAAATCATACTATAATGCAGCAAGTACCTATTATTTTTTGAGAAAATATACAATCGCAGACAAAGTGATAAAAGAAGGTAATTATTAAAAATATAAATGTAATATATTGTTGATTGAATAATATTAACTAGAAAATAGAAAATTATTATTTTTATTCTTCGTAATGTTACTGATGCTAATTAATCAAACTAAGCTAAATTATGTAAAACATAAATGAAAATATAATTAATCATTGATAGTTATAAATCGTGTAACATTAAATTGATAAATATTTAAAGTTTCTTTCAATAATAATTATAATAATAATAATCCAAAATCCATTATTGTAATAATATAAATGACTGTCTTATGTGTTCGTTTAACAGTAAATAATTCCTTCTAATATAATTTTTCTACTTTTAATTTAAGTTAGATATTAAACAAAACAATACATTTATTGGTTTCATAAATAATACTTTAGTTGTAGGTTAAAGAACTACATATAAGCAAGTGTGATTTATACATTTTAATAGACAAACTATATACTATTGTATAAACATATTGCATACTGATAAGATATTATCATTAAGTGAAGTTTTAATCCAGATCCGTCGTACATTTATTCTAATTATAAAAAGTTAAAATATGAAAGTTCTCACATAAAACGGTCCTCTTCGGGACCATCAACAAATGGAAAAACACGGAACAACCAATCAATGGTGAAAATACACTCAGAAATCGACCAAAGCCGACGGGAACATAAGTAATTGATAGGGATAACCGAAACTTATTCACAGACACTCCAACCACTGAAATAATGGTGCGACCAGCAGAGGTCATGAAGGGGTGAAATAGGCTCAGCACACATAAAAATGATATGTCATTGATCAACGTCTACGAGTAAATACTTATGTGTGCCACAACGAACAGATAGTTAGTTCAACCTAACCAAATCTTCGTTCTGCCGAAGTATCAGTTTAATACCTTAAATCCTATCCAATTCATCAAATTTAAAAGATTCTTCTTGTCTTAGTCGCTGGGCTTAAGTTCAATAATAAAAAAAAAAACGCAGAGATATTATATACTAATAAAACGGACGGATGGTCAAGACATTCCGGTACTCTGTCTCAATTAATTAATTATCACAGCTTTAAAATCGAATCGACTACTATCCTAATTAGGTAACGATTGCTTAACATATATTCTTTAATAAAGGATAGTTCGTTTTAATCAATTTAAACAACGTACAGAAGGATTTCATCATAATGTCCAGTCAGAACGAACCTTTCAAATATTTCTTTTAAAAATAAAACTGTATTTCATGTAATCAGTTTGCTAATGGATTGAGTATTAGTATGGACAATTTCAATTTCATTTCAGTATCATTAAGTATATTTTATATGAAAATCCGATTTATATTTTTGTATAAATTACTATTAAGAAAATAATCGTATTAAAATACAATTAATTGTTTCAGGTTTAGAATTTTTGAGATCAGTAGAAAATCAAATAAATGATGATATCAATACAATAAACAATTTAAAAGTGTGGAATGAGCTGTACTTAACATTGGAAAAAGATATACAAAATTATTATAATAATATAGAACTATCGAATGAACTGCCAATTGCTTTAAATACTGTATCAAGTGATGAATTAAATGACCTCAGTCCAGCTGTATTACTTTATCGGAAATGTTTCTTAGACAATGTATGTATAATTGATTAATCGAATAATTATTGATTAATATATTATAATAATTTTATATTATATTTTTACCTTTAATTATCGAAATGGTTTTGAAACAATTTTGATAGAAGGTGTAAAGGATAAAGATAAAGATGTGAAGTTATTTATTAGAGTTTAAGAATGACATAATCAATTACGTTATTATGATATTTAGTCATAACGTTCTGTGGCGTAATAATGTGAATTTCCTACAGAGTGGGTTTTGAATACAATAATTTTAAATAATAATGGGGTTTTAACAAACTAATAGTTTTTGCACTTTTAATATCAGAAGGGTGTGGTTTTTGGATTCTAAGTTTTAGGTACACGTTGGCTAATGTTAACATTTGGATAATGTCGACATTATCCGGCTAATGTCAACATTAGCCAACTGTTATCATTACCTGCCATGAATATTATTAAATGCTGGCTAATGTTAACATTAACCGGTTAATATGACATTAGCCAAGGACTTATGGATAATGTCTTAACAACTATAAAACAAATATACAATAATTACTAATTACCATAAAATACATAATACGAGTATAATTTAAATGATTTTATACTAATAATACAATATTAAATTTTATTTTATATTTTAAGATTTTTTTAATTAGTATTTAAAAATATAATTAATGTGTTATTATTTATTATTACATGGCATACTTCCATGACATTTTGAATTACATAAAATATTAGATGATTTACACTTACAACGATTGGTGTTACATTTACCTTTGCATGAACACCTTTTGTATCCTTGACCACCACTATCGTCTGATATTAGACCAGCAATTTCCCTCAATGATTTTTCTATAGGTACCACCTCATCAAGCGGTATTAATGATATCGGACAAACACCAAACGGGTTTCTGGTATATAACTGTGGCAAAGTACCATATTTATTACCAAGTTTATAATATTGTTCGTCCTCAATGGCCACAACTGCAAATAAAATATTTCTTGGGTCTGCTCGTCCTCTGTCGACATCGGGTAAAGTGACTCTCACACTATCTCCGACGTTAGCTGGGGGAAACTTATGGATATACCTAAATTTCATTTTTTCGGCTTGGTTTATCAAACAAATTTCAGAATTTTTTCTATTATTATCGATTGATTTCTGTAAAAAAAATAGTTATTATATTAAATTTAGTTATTTAGAAAAATATAGGCAATTTCAAATTTTCAAATATCAATATCATACCTGTCTTATAGATATTAAGTCACATAATCCTTCGTCCTTTGATGCTCCCGAACAACAATTTTCATTCACCACTTGAATATTATTTTTTGCATTCACATCTTCTTCTACATTGATATTGTTTATAAACGAAAAATTACACATGAGCCAACAAGGATGGCTAATGTCGACATTATCCAAATGTTAAGATTACCCGTAACATATATATTCACAGAATCATATTTTTACATGATACAAAATAATTATACAAGTCCCATAAAATCAAGTTATATAAATACAATTTTCTATAGTAAATAAATCAATTTTCATAGAAAGATTTTTGCAAAGTATTAAAATTATGTTTTTTTTGCTGTACAAATAGAGTGTATTATAAATAAACTACTATAATTAATTATATTAGAATCATGATAACAATTAACAGTTAAACTTGAAATGTTTTCAAGTATTGTTTCATCTTCAACAATCGATTTGAGGAAAAGTTCAACAGTATGCTCTTGTAATAACTTAAAATATATCGAGCAGTATAACATTTAATTTAATGAGACAGAAAATAACTATTTTGGCTTTTCTTCCCACTGTTCAAATAATGTAAACGATTGATACTATTGCTATCATTTGATAAGCTAGGTATATAAAAATAATAATAAGATACAAAAGGTAAAGTAAATACTTAATAGTAGATACGTACAAACGACAAAGATTAAAGTTATAATGAACGGTTTAATTATATAAGCCATGTTTATTAGATGTAGGTATAACTTGGTATTTCATTCTCAAATTGTTATAGAAGTCAGTTTTATAGAACTCTGTGTATTGCCGTTTAATTTATACACCCGTTTTAACAATTCCTTATGAAACTATTGGATAGTTTGATCTATGGTGAAATAAAAAAATTTTCTTTGGAAGTAACCTTACAATTTTTAACATGCTTCTCATAATGTACAATGTACATAGTATTTTTGTTTTTATTTATTTTTCTTAAATAATAAATCTTAATTATATATACTTCTTAGGAAAATGTGAAAAAAACGGAACTAAAGAATGCATCAAAAAAATTTGAATCATCAATACACAACAATTTTTATTTAAAATTAAATGATGAAAAAAAATTTGAAAATTTGAATGACAGCAATATTTCTATGTATTATTACTTGATGGGCTCCTATCTTGAAAAAATAGAAGATAAAGTAAAAAATATAATTGAAGCGATTCGAAGGCCGGTCTTAAGCATCGAAGTAAGTACATTTAAATTCTTATATTCTAAATTCCTTATTAACCTTAGTAGACACTTTGAATACAATAAAATGAATGAATAAAAATACCTTTCAACGTCCAGAGCAGGGGTCGGCAACCTTTTATACCACGCGGGCCATATTTTTTTTCAATTGTTCATCAAGGGCCACATTAAAAAAAAATTACATTTTATAATATATTACTAATTATAATTGTATTTCTATTATATTTGATTATTTTACATAGAAATATGAGAGTAAAAAAACACAAATGTTACTGGAAAAAATTGCTTTTAAGAAAAAATTTAATTGAATAATAAATTGTAAAATTGTAAATTAATGCGATTTCTGTGCCTGCAGTTTATTAGTTAAATTATCGATATCAGCTTGCAGACTTGTTGTTGAAACTCGTAATAAAGCTCGTAAATGTTCATCACTAAGGCGCGAAGAGTGCTTACTTTTTCTGTACTTCACAATGGAAAATGTCTGCTCACATATATGTGTACTTGCAAACGCCGCTATAAGTTTTTGTGCAAATTGTCTGATTCCAAGGAAGGTAGATATTGGAAGACAACTATAAAATTGAGGCAAACTAGTTGCTTCCCGAAAAGAATTTTTTAGAACCTCGTCATTTTGAAGTTCAATGACTTCCATTTGTAAATTATTCTTGACATTATTTATGTCCACTTGAAAAGGATTCTGGTATAATTTAATTTCTTTATCGTATTTATAAAAATCATCGAATCTTATTGAAAATTCGTTTTGCAATTGTTCAATGATATTGAGAAATTTAGGTTTAATTAAATCCCACTGCAATGGTTTTACAAAAGATTCAATCGCAGATTTACAACACGAAAAATGATATAATATTTGTTGATCGAAATTATTGTACAATAGTTTTAATTTTACTTGAAATGATTTAATATCAGTGTACATATCTGAGAGTAATTTACCTTTGCCTTGTAATTTTATATTCAATTCATTCAAAAATGTTGTTATATCTGTTAAAAATGCTAATTCGAGAATCCATGATTCATCTGATAGTTCAGAAACGATTTTATTTTTTTCATTCCTAAACATTTCTATTTCCAATCGTAGATCAAAAAATCGTTTAAGTGCCGCACCTCTACTCAACCATCTGACTTCTGTAAAATATATAACGTCGCCATATTCCGATTCAATTTCATCCAGAAAATTTTTAAATTGACGATGACCCAAACCATTTTTTCGAATAAAATTTATTGAGGAAATAACAACACTCATAACTTCTTGACACGCAAGAACTTTACAACACAATGCTAACTGACTATATAACTTCATAGAATAAACATTAGCTAATAACGGTTAGATTAGATTTTATTTATAAAGAAAAAATAATTAAATTATATTGAAAATTATATGAAAAATTTTATTGTACAAAAATAAAACACAAAAATTAACCACCATGTGCGGGCCATCAAAAATTGCCTAAAATTTTTGGGGGGACTCAAGCTCCCTTCTCCATAGGCTATAATATAAGTGAAATTATAGTACTAATTACTATATTTTTAACTGAGGGGACTTGATCAAAATTTGAGGAGACTAAGTCCCTCCAAGCCCCCCCCCCCATATTTGCGCCAATTCAGTAGACTTAAACATTAACTTATATCTTTGTAATACGATTGATTAGTACAAATGTACAATAATACAACGAATCACCTAATCGACGCTTAAGCAACATATTAATTTACAAAAATAATATATTTAAATAAACAATATAAATAACACTGTTGGAAGTTGGCCAAATAAGGTACCTATCGATAATGATTGCTACTGTGCTTTTTTTGTGTGTGATGATAGTTCTTTCTTGAAGCAAATTTTAACGGAATATTTTCAGCACTTGGTTTATTTTTTAACTCAGTTTAAATGACTTACTATTTAAATATGTCTGACATCTCTCAAAAAAATGTCCGAGATTTTTGTCAAATTCTATTCAGTAGTTTTTGAGTATAAAAGCTACATATATAGAGCTGACTTAGAGTTTTCCTTATTTAGTCTTTTGTGATTGCACGAGTATATATCATCATTCATCAGCATTTGTCACATGGTGATCACAATCTTCAATTACCTTATTAATTTATTTTTCATCAAAAGTTTCCATATAAATTTGAATTTTGAAAATATACCACTTGTGGCAAATATCCACCTTTCTCAATTTTCTTACCAACAGGTTCATAAATCTCAGAATGATTAAGTGTGTATACTAATGTAAGGTTTACTATTTACTGTTAAACCTTAAACATTATTAAATTAATTATATGATTACCATTAGCACTGTGAGTATAGTTGATTATCATGTTAAGAATGATGGAATATATTTCCCGAACTTTTAAAATTGCTTTATCTGTTACTTTGTTATCTGACAATCTATTTCCACTGCCATCTAACTTACTAATAAAAGAAAGACTACTTCAATAATAAATATAGAGTTTGAAATTGGAAGACAATCATTTTCATTACAATCAGAATAATATTTATATGTTAAATTTATTTTCTTAAAATAATTTTGATTTTGTTTGTTAGAAATCATAAAATTGGTTTTAGATACTAATAATTCTGAGACAAATTACGGCGTATACTGATAATCGTTTAATTACTTTTTTCTTTGATTGATTTCGTATTGCATCCGTGGTGTTCTTTACTTCTTATTAAGTCCTCCCAAAAGTACCAACTAGATCGAATTCGGTACTTAGACCCAACCGGCTTGTAAAAAATCCGATATATTATTATTTATTACTTGCCCGGCCAGCAAATAACGATATGTTTAAACGGACACCAACTTAGTTGAGCACCACTAGCACCTGAGTCTTAAAAATATGGAGGACTAGATGGGTGTGTAGTGGTGTAATAGCTCGAACAGCAGTGGTCGGGATCGCCGGCCAAATACTGCCGAGTTACGTAGGGCGTGTTGTGCAATATGTGTGTATTTGTGTCTACTGTATACGAAAGTTGGTGTGTTTTCAAAAAATCTGGTATTAAGAAGATGGTAACACGGTGAATTGCTGGATAATACAATGTAGAATAATAATTATTAATAACATGGAAAATAAAAATCACAGCCACAACTAAAGGTGTACAATAATAATATAAACAAATCACAGCTCTTATGGCTAGACAAAATAAATTGGAAGTATTTAAAAATGCTCGGCCCTTATGGCCAAACAGGGTAAATGGCAATATAAAATAATTACAGCTATTAGAGCTGTCGCTATATAGCTTTAATATTAATTCAAAAATAGTATGCAGCCCTTTTGGCCATCTACAATAAATTATAGTATTAGGTGCAGCTGTTTGAGCCGATTTCAAGCTATTTCAAGTACACAATTGTGGTGATTAAATATAAGAATAATATGAGGCAATTCTGGCCCAACAAGTAAATAAGTGAAATAAATAATAATAAAAAAACTTACATGACTGTCGTTGCACTGCTGGCCAGCTGCTACCTATATTTATAATCTATAATAATAATGTAAGTATAACTATATTAAAGTGGTGATTTGCGCCGACAGTATGCGACGGCGTCTCGTGCCTACGATTTAATTTAACACCAATTAATATTATAAAAACAATAGACCCTTTTGGTGCTCAAGATTATAAAAAACAATATTTCTCTCTATTTTGTAGATAATATATTTTGGCTCACACCGGTGCCGACGCGACAACATACGGTATGAGACAAAAATCATGGCGGCCCGCGGCCGTGCTATTATCTTAGTCTCGCAGCAGTATTTATCAGTGATTATCTACATATTATATAACTCACAAGACACATTCAATAATAATTATAGCAAAAATAAAACAATAAAAAGTGATTATTGTGTGTGTGTGAGAGACCAACAGTTAGTTATTGTTCTTCCGTGACCGATATATCTTATATAGGTATTATCATTACTTTTGCACTTCAGCGGCAACATTTCTACATAAAGTATCGTGAAATAAAAGAAGTAGAATATTATATTCTACAATATTGTATTTTTATATATCCATTAAATAAGTCTTTAGTGAAAATTTCAAGTTCATTTATTTTCTACTCATTTTCCAAAAATAGTAAAAACCCCAAATTACGAAGTACAATAAAAACATTAGGTACTAATACAACCCTCAATGTTAATGATTGAAGCAAAATGTATGCTACAAAATGAAAAAAAAAATGTCGCAAATATATGCTGAACTTTTTTCTAAGTGGATTTTGGGTGAATAAAAAAATTTTAATGTTCGTGTATTAGACGTGTTATGTGTGTAATTAATTTATTTCATCGAAACATAATAATTTCCAGGATAGATTATTAAATTATGAAGCAAATAAATTGGCATTGGATATGTTTAAAGACTACTTGAGGGAAGAAACATGTGACGAGAGGACATCCAGTCAATTTTAAGTATGCAAGGAACTTCAAAATCGTATAAGATGTGATAGAAGTAATTATATTATTAATAATATCTTTATAACTTTGGGAGTAATGTTTAATAATATTATATATTATACATTTATTGTAAACTTTAAATAGAAAAAGGTAGGGAACCGGTATAACAGGCGATATTTACCCCCGGTAATATTTACCCCCAGATAAATATACACTAGGATAAATTACCCCCCGGTAAACATGTCATTTTAGGTGGGTATAAATATATATACTAGGCGATAATTACCGCCAAGGTAAAAATTTACTAGTATGTATTTACCCCCGGGTGAATATTATATTCTAGGATGTATGCCCCCCCCCCTACTCGGTAAATTTTTTTTTTTTTGGGGGGGGGGGTTATAATTATAATACTATATCGTTACCCCCATAAAAATTACGTGTAGGGGGGTAGTAATATCTTAGGATATAGTTACTACCTGGTAAACATTTCGTGTTGGGGGAGGGGGGTAAAAATATCCTAGGATATAATCACATCTAGAATAAAAATATATTTCTTTAGATTATGTATAGTGCTTCTTATTGTTTAAAGAATCAATAAGTTGATAAAATTATTTACCGTAAAATGTTTGTAATAAAAGTGCATACAATGTAAAAGTATTATTTGCAAATTATCTTGTGTCCCTAACAAAAATAACAAAAGTGATGCCTCAATGGCAAGCCAACCACAAAATCATAAAAAAAAAACAAATCTTTAAATCTTTTTAAGTTTCATTAAGCGAACGCTGACAACAATATAATATAATAGATAGTTACAGTGTATAATTCTCACACGATTAAATGCTGGAAATAGACAGCAGGCGTCCGTCCATACGGCTCAAACACTTTTTTATTTTATTTTTATAATAATTTGTTGTGATCATGATAAATTTTCAAATATAAAATGAAAAATGTAATCACAGTTTCTTAGATTTTTGTTGCGTCATGTACTGTGCCTATTACATATTTTAGTTATTGTTGTACAATTATAATTTATTTAAATATAAATAATATGTATAATTTTTATAATATTTTACATAATCTTAAAATTCGTATATAAAGTAGTATGTAAGAAATTAGTTCACAAGATATTAAAATAATGTGGACTCTTCCAGTTCTTAACAGCATGCAAATTTTAAAGAATTTTTGATAATGAACTATGACAGTATGTAAATATTTTGGTTACTACACAATATTTTAAGACACCTTATAATATATCCCCGCTATGTCCTTTCGTTCGTCCGTCTGTTACCAGTACATAGGTACTAGGTACATATATTTTAGAATTGATTTGTGTGGTGGAGTCAATGAAGGAGATAAAGAATTTAAAAATTCAGTTTATAATGTATCGCCTCCTCTGTATCCAAAACAGTGTCAACGGAATAGTACACTTTTGTTGGTGCATTGAATTTAAACAGTAAAATATAATTTATTGTATTGACTTGATCATTAGTTGGTGACAATATTGCCCTTTCTTGAAACCAACTTAACGTTTTAGTCGAAATATTAGATAAATCTGGGTAAACATTTTCAATTAGGTCCAGCAAATAAGACATCAAAAAACATATGCACAGCAGTTCCCCACACCATGCGCATCGACAACGATAATTAATGTGTTATCTGTGTACTGAAATAATTCAAAAATGAAGATTACGCCATATAACAGATATAATAATCATTAATCTTTGAGTGAAAACTAATAGCTAAGTAAAAAGCGGAAAACATTGCAAGAAATAAGTGTCGGACATCGTGGTTTGAACTTGAGATGCTGTCTTTGGAATCTCATAGAAGTGCTAGTGCGCAAGAGATATCTGAGCACGAGGCGATCATTTTATGGTATTTAAATATATACGGATGAATAGCACAAATAATTTTTTAATTTTATTAATCAAGTTATACGAATAAATTGTATATTAAAACCTTTCCCGAAGCTAGATCTATTGATTAGTGAAAACTGTAATAAAATCCGTTGGGTACTTTTTGAGTTATTCCGCGTACATACAAAAAAGAGAATTCAATTTTATATTGTAGAATTATATTTATACATACATTTTACAGCACGGTGACCTGTGGTTTTCCATAGTGACATGCAACCATAACTTTTAGTCCGTCTTAGGTCTAACTATGTGTTTGATCGGAATTTAAATACGAATTATCCCGAATTTATTATACGAAAATAAATCCCTACTTCCCTTTGTCGAGGTATCACGCTTATCGCTTATAATTTAAAATAGATCTAATCTATCTTGTAACGGTTAGGATGTTGACCTATTCCTATTACAAGTATTGATCAAAACATATAACACAAAGTTTATATAGTAATCATGTTTATCTTTATTTTTGATATCAACATACAAATAATTAATATCATAATTCATTAAATAACATACAACGGGGCAATATAATTAATTTATATAATTCAAATGGAAATATAATCCTGTACTCATAAAATCAGTACAGTTAAGATACAAAATAAAATATAGGTATAACGGATGTTGAATACGTGTATGGTGATAGATAGCTTACTCACGGTTCGGCTGTTTTCTTTTATTGCGTGTATATGTTACGGTGAAAGATGAATATTGGTGAATGTAGTCATTATCAGGTGAATGACGTCTATTACCAAAATGATTTGATTATGTAGGTAAATGGTGTAAAAAACCAGATTATAAATTCAAATGTACATCTTTCACCGGCCATTGATGTCATTTACCAAAACTGGTGGTAAATGATGATAAATCTCAAATAATACACTGATTTTTTTACCAAAGGTACTACTTATAATAATGATTCATTGTTGGTGGGTAATTCATTTTTTATTTTAGGTATTTATTTGAATGGGATAATAAGTTAATTAAAAATAATGAAATACGTACATATCATAAATTATTTATTTGTACAATTTTGGTTACCATGACATTTTGAACTGCACAAAATTTCTGCTGCATTACAAGCACATTTTTTAGTTCCACAACCAGTTTTACAGTTGCATCGATTAAATCCTTGATGACCAGCTATTCCATGTCCTGCGGCTTCTCGTAATGTTATTTCCCTGTCTTTAATTTTTTTCATGGCTTCATCTAGCTCTAGAAATTTTTCTTTACACGGAGAAATTTGTGCTCGTGTATATTTGTGTTTCAACACCCCATATTCTGTACCTGATTCAAACATTCTTGTATTTATTTCATTTTAAATTAAATAAACATTATCAAATTAAAATTGGCTTACATAATTTATACATGTCATCTTCACATGAAATAATAACAGCAAGTAAATTACGCGGAGAACCTCTTGCTCTATCGACATCTGGTATTGGGACACGAACAGTTGTACCGACATCAAGCTTAGAAAATTTTTCGTTAGTCAATCT